TATCAGCAGTTGAAACAGTCCTCCAATACTCACATCAAAATGACCCACACCTAAAACATTCCTCCATGTGAAGAGCTCGTTTCAACCCTACTGCAGTTGTGCTTCAGACATGTCTCAGGAAAGAAGCACAATCAGATCTGCGAACAATATATCAACTTCTACATCCACTTTTATCCCCCTGCCCCCCTGCCCCCCGCCAAAAATTATATAATTTTTTTAAAGCACACTGAGGCAGATGTGTGTTTACTTTGAGAAGTAAAAATGTTAACATTGAAACTGAAAGCCTGTTTCAGTTTTAAGGTACTTAATTGCCTTACAGCATATAATAAACCGAGCCCATCTTGTCATTCAACTAATGGAGAGAGTGATAAAGAGATAGAAGCCTGGGACCCTACTCATTCCAGTTTGCCTTTGTATTTCGTTTACCTTGGCACCGTGCCTCGTGTGTATTTTACACTTCTTTACATTTTGTACATCCCTGTATGACAAATACTTGTCAAACAAAAACTAAACAGATTTATAACCCCTTAACTTGAAATGAGCCAAAATTGAACTGCCAAAACTTTATGACTTCATTTTCTTTCATAGTTTTCCACTACATTGGTTCAAACAGACAAACCCCACTTGAGGTCAAGCAGAGGTCATTTCACTTTCATTACTAAAATATAATTTACAATATGCCAGACCTAAACAAGTTTAGCCTAAAGGGTTTGTATAATGTAAACCATCTGTTCCTCAACAATACAGCTAATTTCCTGCCATCACCGTACAGTCTACTGACTGCTTCTTTAAGGGTTTTTATGATTTTTTAACTAGTTCAGGATTTATGTAAAATTTGAAAATGAGTCTATAGTTAAGACTCATTTGTACCAAGTAATGTGAACATTTTAAAAATGCAAATCACTGTGTAAATTGCTCCCCTGAAACCTAGCTCTGGGCATTTTTTTTCTGGGTACTTCTGTGCCGGCTGCTGCACAGGGGTTGAAGGGAAGGTTTGGATGAAATCGGCCGTGTTAGATGCTGTTCGTGTCTCTTTCCAAAGCAAACTTCAAATCTGGTTTTGCATGGCTCTTGTAAATGACTTCTTCTATAGGGTGGAGAAGACGTGGGACTATATGCTATATGGCCCTCTGGGCATCTCCGAGGTATGATAAGGCACACTTAAAGCGTAATGTCCTCTCTTTCATGTGTCCGAATAGGGAAAAAAGACCAATTACAATTCTTCTGAATGGCCACCTGGAGACCAAACTCACAGCTCTGCAAGGTGGCAGATCCCAGGCAGGTGAATTGAGATTGCTGGCCAGCACACTGGCTTCTCTGGTTTCACACAGAATTGTGTGGACCCAAAGCAGACAGTCTTATAGATACAAAGGCACCATATTTGGCCTTCCATGAAAATCTTAATATTTTTCTAAAGCCTCTTTCTCCATCTATAAAACGGCAAGAGTGAGATTCTCCTTCCTAGGACCAGCAGCTGGCATAATGGTTACATCGCTGGATTCCCCACATAGTCGATCATGGTTCGAGTCCTGGACATGGCAGCTTGAAACTCATATCGAGCAAGTGTGTGTGCATGTCCAAAATCCTGAGAGGAGAGTTGAGGAGAAAGGATTGTGGTATGGCCATTCCCTCACTTTCTGTTTCTTTGTCTCCCTCTGTCTCTGGCGAGCTCACATGCCCTATAACAAAAATCTCTCTTAAGCAAAACAAGGAAAAGAAAAAAACAAAAAACAGATTCTTCTCCCAGAAGCAAATACAAGAGAACTAATTTGCTTATCTTGGTACTGGGGAATACAACCAGCTAGCTTCGCCTTGAAACCCTGGGGCCATGTGTCAGGTGGGTACCAAGGTCCTGTCTGCTCTTTCTCTTCTAGTCCTGAGGAGTTTGGCCCGCTCACTTCACTTCTCCATCTGCTATCATCCACTCACCCACGTGAGTTCTTGCTACCTCCCCCTCCATCTGCACTGCCTCCTTCCACACCACCTCCCCCCTGCATCTCACATGAGTAGGCCACAAGCCACTCAGTCTCTCACCCACCTTCAGACTCCAAAACAAATTTTCTTATCACTTACAAAGAATTTGCTTTTAAAAAAACTAACAACCATAGGGGAACAGAGAAAAATTAACAGGAAGAAATTAAAACACATTAAAAAAAATACAGAGAATTATAGAAGACTCTAAATACCTAAGGCTGTAAATGGATCTAAATCACTTGCGTTTACTTCACTTACTGGATGACTTCTCTAATAAGGCTAATAAGAATGATTTAAAGAGCACTTATTAGGTAGAAATTACTTTCATACATCATTGTATTTAATCCCTCCTGCAACTGTGCAAGCTAGACGTTACATTATTTCATAGATATGGACACAGGTTCCGGAAAGTTAAGAAATTTACCCAAGGTCAGCAGCTAATATATAGAAATTACCCCACAGGGTGGTTGTGTTAAATGAGTTAGTATTTGTTAAGTGCTTAGAACAGTGTCTGGCACATAGTAAATGCTATATAACTAACTTAATAATAGAAAGCAGTAGATCCAAGATGCAAACCCAGATTTATATGAGTCCAAAGCTCATTTGGTTTGAATTACATTGCACTGCCCATGGGTTAGTTTCAAGCAATGAGTGAGGAAGGGGTATTAGATTTCCAACCCATTATGTCAGTCTAATATTCCATGGTTTACTCCTTAATTCCCATGTTCCCAAAAGAACCTTTAGTGCTCAGTCCCTTATCCTTCTCTGTCATCCAAAGCCTGGGGATCTGTTAAGTGAAAAAGTGAGTAATACTTATGCCATTCAAGGGAACTTCACATAAATTGGATTCTTTTACATCATTAAGTAAAGTTCTGATAGAAATACCCACTCTAAACATCATGCAAGAAAAATTCACCTTAGGTTACTCTCGCCAGCAAAGGTAAAGTCATCTGAGTGCTAGAAGAAAAACAAGTAGGTTCTGTTCATCTGGTTAAATATACTTTCATAGTTTATTCATGCGCTAAAGAAATATATTCTTTTCCTCTTCCACTTTTTTTTTTTGAAGAGGTTTTTGCTATAGGGCACATGCACTCACCAGAAAGATAGAGAGAGACAGAAAACGAGAAATCACCCCCCAGGGGGGATGGCCACACCGCAGTCCCTTCTCCTCCATGCTCCTCTCGGGATCTTGGGTATGCACGCACACACGCCCAGTGTGAATTTAAGCCACCGGGTCTGGACTCGAACCGCGGTCAACTACATGGGAGTTCAGTGACATAGCCATTATGCAACTGCTGGTCCCCTTTTCCTCTTCCACTTTTGCACAAAGTCAGAATAGAGCATTTACTGCTCTTTGTTTCTTGTTTGCTCCAATTCACCAGAGAGCACATGCCCTTGCTGGAGAGAGGCAGAGTGAAAGCAAGAAGGCACTTCCCATGGGGCATAGTCATGCCACAATTCCTTCTCCATTTCTGCTTTCCGAACTTCGGGTACCCATGCACATGCAATGGACGTGCAACCAGGACTGGATCTATGCAGCTGGTGACGTGGGATCCAGCTGCCCCAACCACTGTGCCACCCACTGGCCCCTGCTTTTTATTCTTAACTGCACTATAAACTTTAGAGACCTTTCCATATCAATACATAGAAAGCTTTCTCATTCCTTTTCACAACTATAGACTATTCTGTTTACTAGTTCCACTATTGTTTAGTTAATTAGTATCCTCAAGGGAGACATTGAAGTCATTTCAAATTTTTTGCTATTACTAAAAACACTACAATAAATAGGGTGAGATTAATCAGCTTTCATTTATTGAACATTTAAAGTGACTTATTGCCCTCACTTTCAGCCTAAGTACCTTTTCCTGTAAAGCATTTCCAAATGTAAATCTTATAAAGTCGGCTTTGATGAACAAATGTGTCCAATTTATTAGGATGAGAAATATCATGTGCAGAGAAGAATTACTATTTCAAAATCCTTGGTTCTGTTTTGTTCTTCTAAAAAGGTATTTTCCTACCAGTTTATTTACATTTACAACTAGGCGAGTGGACAGTTTGCCCTGGAAAAGACCAGCCTCGAACAGGGATAATCACCACCTGCGACTCCTCGGAAGCACCATCTTTTGTTTCTAGCTTCTGACTGTTCGCACAGTAAATATCCTCAGACTAGGAGAGCTTTGGAGGAGCCGTGGTTACTGAGCAAGAATGTGCATGATTTGAGGATGGACACTGAGGAGGTCTCTTTAGCTAAGGGATGCTACATGTGGAGGAATAGCCAGGGATCTTGCCAGTAAGGTGGGTTAGCATCGGATCACAAGTATTGGAAGGGACAGGCTAATCATTCAGGCTGTGTCCTCTGCATGCAGGCTTCTCACACCTTGACATTCACAGTCATCTCTCGTGGCCTTCTTAAGTGTACATACTGATGCAGCGATCTGCATTTGTAGTAAGCTTTGGGAGGTGCTGATATTGCTGGTCCCCAGATCACACTTAAGACGCTAGGCAACAGCAGAAACCATTGCAGTGTGGCAATTGGAGGCAAGGGATAAGAGGGTGAGAGGAAGTTGCCTCTAGTTCTTCCTGTAAGTTGCAGCCAACAATTCTAAAGTCTTATTGACCTATGATATTTTATTTCATCTATTTGTAGAACTTTTTTTTTTTTATATGCCCAGTCCTCCTTTCAGATGCCAAGATATCTTGCCTTAAAAAATGTTCTAACCTTGAGAACCAGCAGTTAGCGTAAATGGCTATGTCGCTGGATTCCCATGTGGTCGACCATGGTTCACATCCCAGACCCGGTGGCTTAGAACTCACGCTGGGCTCATGTACGTGTGTGCCCAAGATCCCGAGAGGAGAATGGAGGAGAAGGGATTGTGGCGTAGCCATCCCCCCTGGGGGGTGATTTCTCACTTTCTGTCTCTCTGTCTCTCTCTGTCTGTCTGGCGAGCGCACGCGCCCTATAGCAAAATCCTCTCAAAAAAAAAAAAAAAAGTGTTCTAACCTGCCCTTTTCCTTTCTTCATACAGAGCAAGGCTAAAGAATTGCCCCTTTCTGCCGTACGTTTTATGGAAGAATTGGGTGAGTGTGCCTTCGGAAAAATTTATAAGGGCCATCTCTACCTCCCAGGCATGGACCATGCTCAGCTAGTTGCTATCAAGACTTTGAAAGACTATAATAATCCCCAGCAATGGACGGAATTTCAACAAGAAGCCTCGCTCATGGCTGAACTACACCACCCCAATATTGTCTGCCTTCTAGGGGCTGTCACTCAGGAACAACCTGTGTGCATGCTTTTTGAGTATATGAATCAGGGGGATCTCCATGAGTTCCTCATCATGCGATCCCCGCATTCTGATGTCGGTTGCAGCAGTGATGAAGATGGGACGGTAAAATCCAGCCTGGACCATGGAGATTTTCTGCACATTGCAATTCAGATTGCAGCCGGCATGGATTACCTGTCTAGTCACTTCTTTGTCCACAAGGACCTTGCAGCTCGCAATATTTTAATTGGAGAGCAACTTCACGTGAAGATTTCAGACCTTGGGCTTTCCAGAGAAATTTACTCCGCTGATTACTACAGGGTACAAAGTAAGTCTTTGCTGCCCATTCGCTGGATGCCCCCCGAAGCCATTATGTATGGTAAATTCTCTTCTGATTCAGATATCTGGTCTTTTGGGGTTGTCTTGTGGGAGATTTTCAGTTTTGGACTCCAGCCATATTATGGATTTAGTAATCAGGAAGTGATCGAGATGGTGAGAAAACGACAACTCTTACCGTGCTCTGAAGACTGCCCACCGAGAATGTACAACCTCATGACCGAGTGCTGGAATGAGATTCCCTCCAGGAGACCACGATTTAAAGATATTCATGTCCGGCTTCGGTCCTGGGAGGGGCTATCGAGTCACACCAGCTCTACTACACCATCGGGGGGAAATGCTACCACACAGACAACCTCCCTCAGTGCCAGCCCAGTGAGTAATCTCAGTAACCCCAGATACCCTAATTACATGTTCCCGAGCCAGGGGATTCCACCACAGGGCCAGATTGCTGGTTTCATTGGCCCACCAATACCTCAGAACCAGCGATTCATCCCCATCAATGGATACCCAATACCTCCTGGATATGCAGCATTTCCAGCTGCCCACTACCAACCAGCAGGTCCTCCCAGAGTGATTCAGCACTGTCCGCCTCCCAAGAGTCGGTCTCCGAGCAGCGCCAGTGGGTCAACCAGCACTGGTCATGTGACCAGCTTGCCCTCATCAGGATCCAATCAGGAAGCAAATATTCCTTTACTACCACACATGTCCATTCCAAATCATCCCGGTGGAGTGGGTATCACTGTTTTTGGCAACAAATCTCAAAAACCCTATAAAATTGACTCAAAGCAACCGTCTTTGCTAGGAGACTCCAATATTCACGGACATACCGAATCTATGATTTCTGCAGAACTATAAAATGCGCAATATTTGAAATGTGGTATACAGGACCAGCTAGAAAGTCGTAGAAAAAAATTTATATTCAAATGTTTTTATTAAAGTAAGGTTCTCATTTAGCAGACATTGCAACAAGTATCTTCTGTGAAGTTTAACTGTGTCTTACCAAGCAGGACACATACTAGCCAGAAAACGAAAACACATTGTGAGATTTATACTCCATTGGGGTACATGACATGGCATTGGGATCAAAACATGTGGTTTTAAGTCATGAAAACTGCAACTATTGAAGAGGAAAAGAACCTCGTGATTAAATATCAAACCAAAAAGGAAAGTGAAATGGTGCTTTGTGTATTTGCCTTTGGTCGCCATGACTGGCCTCTCCCCAAAATGTATATACCATAGCATTTGTCTACCTGCTGTCTTTTCTTCAGGACAGGTGTTCAGGAATTACACTGATTCCATTTAGATTCTATGCATATGTGTATGTAAGTGATGTTCAGAATCAATGAGGAAACTTTAGACCAATTTTGACGCCATGGATGGAAATGAGCCATAAGACAAGTGTAACATACCCTGGAGCCTTCTACGTAGGGTGGCTTTGGAAAGGTACAGAGTGTGCCTCTTTGTGAATCTCCTTTTCTGATCATGAAGGCTTTTTCCACATTTTCCTTTTCACAATGTGTTTACACAGCCCTTGAAATAGCACAGAGCATTGGACCATAAGAAGATTACAGGTGGATGCTGAGTTGGTTGTTGGGTGATAGTCTATTTTGTGTATTAGGAATGAGGCACTAAAGGACACACAGTCAGGAAACGTCCCTCAGCCTAGATCGGCATCCAAGGGGAAGGAGCAAGGGCTCCCATGGGGATGTCGCCACAGGAGAGTCCCTGGACCAGTAACATTGAAGAGCCAATGTTGGCTAGAGTACACCCATGCCTTACAACCCCACGGACGAGGTGTCAGGGTGCTCAACTACCAATGGATTCTGTGGAAGTAGGAAACCCTATGATAATTCCAATAACTAGTAAATTTTAAATTTCTCTCACGTTTTGTTTTTTCTGTGTTGGAAAACTTTACATATTTTTATTTCCGTCTCCAAGAAATAGAGCAATTTATTCATCTAATTAGCTGGAATCCAAAGACAGTGAATTCTAATTTTCAAACTAGTACAGTATTTCTGAATAGTCAAATACTGAGTTCTCTTTTTAAATCAAGAACTGAATTCTTCAAGCTGGTAAATAAAAGCAACATGGTCATCTTTGCTTTAGAAGGAGGTATCAGATGTGCATTTCACAGCATGTACACACTAACCATCATTCACCAAGTTTAGTATCTTATGGATTTCAAGTTTTATACAGTAAGGAATTTTATGTTTGCTTTTTCTCTTATTAAAGAAATCGCTCCTTTGTATTGAGAACAGTATCTCAAGGTCTCACTTTTATTTTAAAGCTGTAAGAGACTTTTAAAGAGACTTATAGGATGTAAAGTAATTCCTAGAAATGATATTTGATGAGAATGTAAGGGAGTTAGAAACACATTGTTTCCATTAAAAAAAATCATAAAATTAGTGTGAAAAATCAAAGAACTATGTTTACCAAATGTACTGCAATTTTCCCAACCCAAGTCTTTGAAAAACAATTATGAACTTACAGGTACTGTGAACTCAAATAATTGGCTATATCCAGATTTACTGAAAGAAAATTAAGTCGTGTTTATGTGGCATAAATAAGCTGATTCAGAAGTTACATTTCTTAGCTGTAGGTAGAGGAGAATATTTGTATCCTTTTGTTGCTATGCAACTGTTTAATAATGAAATGTGCTTCAAACCACAATTTTGTATATCATATGACAATCAATTTTTTCCAAGAATATTTATTGTTTTAAGTAAACACAATTTCAGTGAATCTGAGTTTTCTAGGAGTCCCTTAAAGGGAAATTAGCATTCCATGAGTCAGTAAAATACCTACTCTGGAAAAACATTTTTACAGTTAAAAAAATAAATTCAAGTTAGTTTTGTATAAAGAACTATAACATTTATTTTAAACATTTTATAATAACTGAAGTCATTAAGGTGAACAAACTAAATTTCAAAACCACTTGTAATAATGTACTTTATAATAGCACTGTGATACTACATAACACAGTCCCTTTTGTACTAAGATAGTATTATTTTCACAAACTTAAAAAAAAAACCTTTTGCTTTGTTGACAATGTTTTGTATGATAACTTTATTTCAAATTTTTTTTCTTTTTCTCTTTTTTGCACAAAAGTATGTTTATGGTTTGTATCACAGAAGTGAAAATATATCTGCATTTTTATATCTGGTCTGTTTCTTTATTTCCTTTGTTTTTAACTCTATAGATTTTCTCCAAATATATAACAGCAATATTCAGATATCTTTTGCTGCATGCATTTAATCACTGTATTACTTAATGTTTGATTTGTTATTATGGGCATTTCAAATAGACAAGCATGGAATTGTAATGTTAAAAGGCTATTTTATATTAAGGATATATGCGTTTGTATTTCACACACCAGAGATATTAAACACTGATTATTTTATGCTGCTGTTTATTAAAAATGTTTATTATAAAATATTATTTCCTGAACATTGCTATGAAGGGTATTTGGAAACTGTAATATTATCTCTCTTAATAATTGACATTTCATAGAGGAATTACAACTTCTACTTACTAAACTGAAATGACTTTTTAAAATAGGCATTTAAAATAGACTTGAGTGCTCTTTTACTAGCAACCTTAAGTAGAGGGGGGAATCTTGATAATTTTATAACCACATACAATCCACCTATATATGGCAAGCTTTGAGTTTTTAAAACCAAAATAATATATTGGGTAATTATGACCAATGGAATGTTTTAAAAACAAAACAAAACTTGGTTTTTAGGAATAGAATTGCATCCCTTTGCCTTGAGGTTTTCATATGAATTTAGACATCCAACATCATGTCTTAGGACTCTAAAAAAAAAAAAAAGGCTGTGTACATCTTATCATGTCCAACTTAGATTCCAACCATATTGGTAAAATAAAAGAAATACAGCCATTTAATTGTCACAGTTTATCTTTATGACCTTATTTGCCCAAAAGAAAGAGTTCCCCATCTGGCAATTAATATACTGTCAAGGAAGATGACTATGATGATGAAAGTTCAAAGAACTTGTCCATTTCTGCTATTGAACGCAGAAGGGACTACAATAAAACCTTAGGCCCTATCCATCTGTTTTAGGAACAGCCCTTGTCACCACCTCCAGGATCAAACTCAATAAAGCAATCACTTCACAAGACAGTGAAACCATGTCAGGTTGAATTTCTTCCCCTCCCTTGAGTTCCTCAATCTTCCCTTCACTCTCATTTCCTTCTTACGCCTCTCTAAGCTCTTGCCCCTTTCACCATCGCAATCCCTTCAACTCTGAGAGCCCCTTAATTTCCTAATCATCCACACCTGCAAGCTCCCAGCATCATCCACCATAATGCCTACTACAAGCCACTCAACCCTGAGAAAGGTGAGTTGATCATTTATACACCTTCAAAGATGATTACCTCTCCAGGCAATTATGAAAGTATAATATTGGGTTGTCAGAAAAGTCATGACACATTTTCGCATAGAAACATAGAAAAAAATATGTCATGACTTTCCCATGACCCAGCAGTTCCCACAGCAAATCACCAGCAGCACCCAGGAACTTGTTAAAAATACAAATTATTAAGCCTAACTACTAAATTAGAAATTCTTAGGCATGGGGCGTAGGGGCGACGGGGGAGCCAGCAATTGGTGTGTGTGTTTTTTCTTTTTTTTTTTTTTATGAGATTTTTACTATAGAGTGTGTATGCTTGCCAGAGAGACAAGAGAGGAAGCAGAAAGTTGTTTTAATAAGGCCTGCAGGTGATTCTGATATACTCTAAAAATTGTGACCCACACATACAACCTAATTTAAAGGCATGAAAAAAGGGGTGTGGGTGGTCATTACATTTTTACTACTATGTAGTAAGCATATAGTAACATCTTTGCCACTTTATTCTCCTAAAGAAAATGAAGTTTTACTTTGTAAAACAATTACAGCACTAAAGACTTTGTCAGCCATTGGACAATCAGTTATAAGTTTTATAATTGTTCACATGGAGAGAAAATTGACAGAACCTGGCCTGTGTCAAGAATACACTCCTCATCTAGTTCACCTGAGGTCTACATTCTTGAATAGTGGCCAAAAGCTTTTTCCTTCATATGGACACACTCAGAAAAGTTGATCTCTTACACCATTTTTGATTCTTGGACTGATGAGTAGCAAAACTACAAGAACTCATCTCTGCATTGCAGCTTAACAAAGTTAAGGTCAAAAACAGGCTGGTCTTTCTCAGGAGAGGGAAGAGCCCAGCATCAAGCAGGATGCCGCTGCGGAGGCTCCGCTTTCTGCCTGTGCTCCAGTGACACCTTGACCTAGTGGACTAGCTACAGTCACCTGTGGCATGTTCTGCAATTTCCCCTGCCAGCTGCAGTCTCTCAGTCCACCGCTGGCTGAGCACGCCTCTGCTCAGGCTCTCTTCCCCACTGCCTTTACAGAGCTAAAAGCTCTGAGGGAGGATAGCAAGAGGGATCCAAGGGAGGTGCTAGAGGTGAAATTCATACTCTCCTTAATTTATAGGCCATTTTTTTCCAACCAATAGTTCAAATGCTGCAGAGCAAGTGCTAGATTAGAGAAACAAAAAGCTAGGCAACACACACATAAGACAGATTTTTTTGCAGCCAAAATACGACTGCACCTGAAGTTCGTTACTATAAATGCCAAGTATATTAGGACACTGTTAACTCAGGGGACGGGGAGCCTTACAACCATCAAAGCTTTCAAGGTCAATGTAATCCACTGAGAAATTAGGCTAGGAAGGCTTAAAACCATAGAGACATACAGGGAGAAGGTCTGCTGACATGTTTATTGACTAGTTGAATCCTAAGCACCTACGAATTGCTTTATGCGCAAACGGGTACTATAACATTTATTGACCAGGCCTGGCAAGATGTGAATTCTTACCAAAGTAATTATGTTACTAAATATTCTTCTACGAGAATGGTTAAATTAGAAGAAAGTCTCCTCTTTAAAATTAGGTAAAGCGGAGCCTCAGATAGCAGAGAGGATACGTCACTGGACTTCCACATGGCCGACCGTGGTTCAAGTCCTGGACCCGGTGACTTGAAACTCATACTGGGTGCATACATGCATGTGTGTGCATGCCCCAAATCTCAGAGGAGAAGGGTTTGTGTTATCACTGTCCCCCAGGGGGAGGGGGTGATTTCTTGCTTTCTGTCTCTGTCTTTCCAGTGAGCACACGTGCCTTATAGCAAAAGTCTCTAAAAAAAATTTTTTTAAATAGGTAGAACATTACTTATCCTTTTTAAAAGGACAATATCTTGGGAACCAGCAGTTAGCGTAATGGCTATGTCGCTGGACTCCCACGTAGTCGACCGCGGTTCACGTCCCGGACCTGGTGGCTTAAAACTCACGCCGGGCGTGTGTGCGTGCGTGCCCAAGATCCCGAGAGGAGCATGGAGGAGAAGGGATTGCGGCGTGACCATCCCCCCTGAGGGGAGATTTCTCGCTTTCTGTCTCTATGTCTCTGTCTGTCTGGCGAGCGCACGCGCCCTACAGTGAAAATCTCTCCGAAAAAAAAAAAAGAACAATATCTTTTTAAAAATTATTTATTATCATTATCATTATTTTAAGGCTTTTGCTATAGGGCATGTGTGCTCAGCAGAAAACGACCAGATAGAAAGCATGTGGGAGTCCAGTGCCTTAACCACACTTAACCACAATGCCGCCTGCTGGCCCCAAAAGGACAACATCCTAACAGGCTGAAAACAAAGGTAATTCAGGAAATATTCTATTTGAAGAAAGTAGTTCTAAATGTCAATCTTCATGGACTGTTGCTCTTGATTGTAAATTCATCTTTACACAGTTGTTCTTTTACCTACTGCAATCCTTGGGCATTGGAATAACAAGTCGTTATCATTCTTATACAATTAATACACTCAAATAAAAAGAAGGCTTTTGAGTCTGTACACATTAAAATCACTTGAAAGGGACTAAGACCTTCCAATGGCATTATCTTGATTGTTGGCTAAATATTTAGGCAGAATGATAGGTTAGGACTTGTTTTTATTTCAAGTTCACTGGGATTGATTGATTCCAGCTGGTTGATTCCAAATTAATTCCAAAATGGCTAATGTTAACTATATTGGTCAGTTTGGCTGCAGTTAAAAACTAAATTTGGTGGCCAACAGGTAGCATAGTGGTTAAGGCACTGGACTCCCACATGGCCAACTACAGTTCAAGTCCTAGACCTGGAGGCTTGAAACTCATACTAGGCATGTGTGCATGCATGCCCAAAACCTCAGGAGGAGAATGGAGGAGAAGGGATTGTGGAGTAGCCATCCCCCTTAGAGGGTGATTTCTCACTTTCCCTCTGTCTGACTCTGTCTCTTAGCAAATGCATGTGTCCTGTGACAAAAACCTTTAAAAATAAGAAATGGAGCCAGTAGGTGGCAAGGTGCTTAGGTGCTGGACTCCAACATGGTCAACCACAGTTCAAGTCCTGGACCTGGCAGCTCGCTTTTTCATTCCCCCCCCCCGTCTCATTACAAATTAAAATTATAATAATAATGATGATGATAATAATTAAATAAGTAGTTCTTTAAAAAAATAAATAAACAAATCTCAGTGACTAGCTTTGCAGGACCAAGGGTTTATTTCTCACTCATATTTGTCAGCAGAGCTGGGTCTGCTGTGGCTGCCCTGATCCTTGGCATCTGAAGGAGAAGTTTCAATTGCAGAAAGGAAAAGAACTAGGGGTATAAATGAAACACAATCACTCATGAAAGTTCTACTCTTGATCTGTCACGTCCTCTTGATTAATCTAATCTCTGAGGCTAAACTTGACTGTAGGACATGGACATACCTCTGCCTGTTCAGAGGCACTGCAAGTTACATGGTCATGGGCAGGGATATAGACTCTCTTGTTGGCAAGGGGGTGAGTAGTTGGGAACAATACCCCATCCAGTCAAAGCCCTGGGCTGGTAGAGTTTGAATAGTAAACCCATGGCATCCTCGCCCCTTGAGTTCCTAACAGACATGACTAATTAGTGCTCTTCTCAGCTGAGCTTGGATTCAGCCTTTGCATTTTTAACTTACTTGCCTAAACAACCTAATACTCAAAAATGGCACTGGAAATAAAACATATTAGCCATCCCTATGCTAGAGCAACAGTTGTCACAACAGGTTATTATAGCAATTGCCTGGGGGAGATTCTAAAAATAATACCTTCTTGGGATCTCAGAATGTATCTGAATAGATACCTTAAGGTCACCTATGAATTCTTCAGAGTACAACACTATATCCCTCCTTAGGACCTGGACGAGGAGAACAGGAGGCTACAGCACATATGCTTTGCTGTACATGTGTTGGTGGACCTTGGCTAAGTGTGGCACAGTCTCCATTTCCTTATCCACCAAATGATGTAAATATAGCCTAGCAGTGAGACCAGCAGTTAGCGTAATGGCTATGTCGCTGGACTCCCA